CCTCATGTATGTGAGATGGGTGGCTATATAAATGTAACAAATAAATAAAATAAAAAAGGAGGGAAAGGAAAGCTAGACATTATTATTATTAAAAAGATATTGGTGACTCATATGACAATGTAAATTTATTCTTTAAATAAGCACGTAGTTTTGTACTTCTAAACAGAATTACATCCATATTATATATTCATGGTATAGGGCCTGGCTGAGGGACCACCTGCCTCCAATTGTTTCTGCCCACCTGGTACATTCAGAGTAGGTGCGCTCCTGGTCCCTAACTATTAAACCATGCCATCTTGTGGGGCTGAGGAAGCAGTGTGCTTTCTCTGTTGCTGCCCTGGCTCTCTGGATTAGCATCCCTCAGAGATATGGACAGGCCCCACTCTCCTGGGGTTCCAGAAAGCCCTTAAGCCCTGGCTCTGTTCCCAGGCCAGGGGTTAATGTATTCATTGATGTATTGGTGGGGCCCTTGTAGTATTTGTACGGTTTATTATTATGGTTGTTTTAGTTCAGACTGCCTGTTTATATGTGTTTGTTTTTATTGTTTTCTGAATTTTGTAAGCCGCCCAGAGTCTAATGGAGTGGGGTGGCTGTAACAAATCTAATAAATTGAATTATTCATGGAGTATTATTAAATGTTGTTTGTAAACAATCAGTTCTCTGAGAAAGTGAGAGACAATCATTAATACCCCCACCCTTATGTCTACGATACTATAGTACCAATAAAAATAATTTATAACAGAGAACATAACTTCAGCATAACACTGAGGTTATCATTTTGAGAGTGGTAGCAACAAAATCTTAAACTATATTTATCCCAAAATATTTATCCCAAAATAAAATTTGAAGAACTTATGCCACTGATACCAAATAAACTGTTCATTCTTGGCATGGAACATCATGGTAAGAAGGGTTTGCACCAAAACATATCTCTGGGTTCAAAGTGACACCAGGGTATCTCATAGGAGATCACATCTCTATTGTGGAAGCTTGACAACACACTAGACATAAACTTCAGTCCTCTAATTCAGGCTGTTCCCACAAGTCCATTCAAATGAAGAACAGAACCAAAGTTCAGCCTTGCTTTGAGTTCCTGGGCTCTCCCACATTAGAAATCAAGCACAGCTTGTTCAAATTGTAGCTGGTAAAGTTGGCTGGACCCCCATCCTCACAGAAATCTCAAGGGACAGGTTATTTTGCTCATGTACTGGCTGCTCAGAAACTGCTGATGGAGAGAAGGGGAGGGGAGTCATCTTAGCCCTCTATCTGCTTAGGTTGAGCAAGAGAAAGAAAGATCTGCTTCCCATTTGCCAATGGGTAGCCCTTGGTTACAGGCAGCAGCCGCTGTCTCTGGGATGCCAGTCAGGCTCTGCTATTGGTGGAGAGGGCCAGCTAGGCTCTCCAACTTGCTGATGGGCCACCCGTTGCCTTGGCAACAGCAGCATCCAGATACGCTTGTGAAGGCAAGGCAACAGAGATTCTGCAAGCTTCTCCAGAAAGCCCTAGCGACCACAATGCAGTTCCACCTGAACCTAAGCCACACAATGCAAGATGGGGGCTAGAATTCCTTGAAATGTTGCCGAGAATGCCTGGGAGATCCTAGCAGATATATTTCAGCATACTATCACACTGCAGGAAATCTTACAGTGTCTCTCAGATCAACTACATTGCGGGGGGGGGGCAACAGAAAAGCTAGGAAGATTTCATATGAGCTTCTTAGATTCTCCATGGCCATGCTTAATTTGACACAGGGCTTGGTGCTCACCTATGAAGCGTGTACTTTCATAGAAGTACCCCTAAAATGCAAGGCTGGTTATATGCTAAGCCAAAATGCAATTTGCTTATTTATGATTTATCATATACTATTGTGCAATACAGTCAGAGTGCTTTTTTCCTCCACTATTACACCAGTTATTAAAAACATCTAAACTGGATTCTATACCATCTAAGGAACTTTATTTGAAAGTGATCCTTAAAGTACCTAAGGATGAACAGGAGCAACAATCTGAGGTATATCACAAACAGGCATCTAATGGAAATCTACCTACACAGCAACAATCTAAAGACAGTTCAAACAAATATGCCTAATTACAAAGAACAAGGAAGATCTGGTCTGGTGATTCTTTATATCCAAAAGAAAAGGACTATTTAGTTTTTTTCTAGTTTGAGATTGATGGCTGCTTTTATGACAGTCATCAATCACAAGAAACTTATTTCCTCTCACTACCCATATATGGGAATTCATTCTTCTTAAATCCAGCTAGTTCAAGAAGAACAAAGCACTCCAGCTTATGAATCTAAATGATTTCACTAGCAGTTGTACATCAGTACTAGGACTCCCTCTATAGCACTATTTAGGAACAACATTCCAGCTTTTGAAAACAAAGGAGAATTGCCGTAGAGGAGGGGTTGTAGGCTGAAAACTGGGAAAAGAGCAGGTACCTTTTCACTATCATCCAGACTAGGAGTGGACAGTGTACAGCTTAGGAGACCTAGCAAGACAAGCATGCAGGAAGGGGAAAAGAAATATGGGTTTTACACATATGAAGGACAATGAGTGCAAGAGAAGACATGTGTTTACAAAACCCTAGCAGATGCATTTGTACAATATGCTAAGTTTGGCTAGTGTTATGTCCTGATTTCTGGGGCTCTGTTATGCAATCCCATTCTGTTTGATTTGTTAATGGTTTAATATACAGTATGTGAAAGTGGGATAATTCAATTTCAGAGTTGTTTGGCTGGGGCAGTTAAGAAACATGGCAAATAAAATAGATTAAACATGCTGTGTGAATGCAGTTTTAGAGTGGAAAAAAAAGCCCCGGAAAGATTACTGCAGAGAGAATACAATCTTCAATTAAAAAGCACATTTTGCCACTATTCTAGGTCATCCCCAATGTTTAATGTAAAAGATGTCACAGTTAAAGACAGTTCAAAAACATGTATCCTCGTTCTTTGTCCTTTTGAAGTTTTCAAACAAAGTTTATATATATTTGGCTTGAATCTGTTAGGAATTCAAAGGAAACCAGAGCACCAGCTATTACAATACAAACTGCAAAAAGCCCACAGTGGTGAAGTAGAGTTTATCCAATTAAATGACATTTACAGTACAGACATGATTGGGTATCAACACTAGAAGTCAAACTGTGCAGAAAAGTCCTTCTCTTTGAATGCTTAACAAAAATGAAATATTTGTTTGTAACATTCAAATTTCTCTCTTCCCTTTTACGTTCTACAGTAGCAGCTTTGGGCCCAAATCCAGAACAAGTCTCAACAATAATATAAATAAGCCTGTCCAAAAGCAGCAAAATTTCAACTCTTCTGAAAAGAAAGGAAAAACAACCTCAAATCCTTCCATTCTTGACTCAGAGAAGGAGGAAGAATTTCATGCTATAGAAGTGGCAACTGGTGATCACTTAGTATTTGACATTGGCAAGCACCTACATTTCTTCTCCCAACGTTGTTAAGCGTGGACAATTAACCCACTTAAAGCTATGATTGCTTCAAATCCTTCTGCAATTGTAAAGTCTTCTGGGCACTAGATGAAGGCTCCCCAAAAGATTGCTCATATAACCCAAACACTGCTGGGTGCCCTGCAGTAGAAGATCACAAATCTCTTGGCAATGTCCTGTTTTGCCTGCTTCAGAAGCTTCTACAAGAAATCAGCATATGAGGTTAGCACAGATTTTGTCTCTTCACTGGAATCTGAGTAAGATCATGACGCCTGATAAAAACAGCACGAGGAGAAAACTATCAAATAGTCTGTGCGTCTCCTCCTTCATGGCCATTTTCTGCTTCTGCAATTTTTGCTGCTTTAGCCGCATAAGGCGCTCCCGTTCCAACTGCTCACCATAATGGGCTCGGTAAAATTCGTCAAAGTTGAAGATGGGCTTGCCTGGAGGATGACCAAATGTGAAAGACTGGCTCCTCTTGGACACTGTCTGAGCCGTTGCTCTATCCTTGCCAGAGGGCTTCTTAGCAGTGGAAATGTCCTTCTGGGTGAGGAGGCCACGGTCGTACTTCTTGCGCAGGCTGAGGCTGCTCAACACCTGATAGGCCTGAGTGACGTGGATGAAGCGCTCAGCTGCCTCCACGCTGCCCGCATTGCGGTCTGGGTGGTAGAGAAAGGACTGTTTATAGTAAGCAGTCTTAATCTGGGCCTGAGTGGCGTTGCTTTGCACTCCCAGCAGTTCGTAGAGGTTCTTCGGGGGAGGACGGCGCCAAACAACTCCTCCTCCTTCGTCGGCACTACCCTGGCCAGGGCCTGATTGCCCACGAAAGACGACGGGAAAGACCAGGACAGGCAGTGCTGCCTTGAGCCTAGGACCGGCTCCACAGGACGACCTGAGGAGATAGGAGGCCCTTGGCTGGCACTGCGATCTTGCCAAGGCCATAGGCGGCGTCTTTAAATGCCAACGGCAGCTCGCTCGTTCGCGACCTCTGCCATCTTGAATTACCCGAGCGATAAGCAAAACCAACCGGCAGCCCAAACCCCGAAAGGAAGCCCATTGGAAAATTCTTCCTGGCCGGCCAAAAGGCGGGACCTAGTCAGCTATTGGTGAGCTCTTGATGGAAGTTGGATGCAGCCACTAACAAGACGGCGAAAGCAGGGCAAAGGCAGTCCTAGAGAGAGGCGGTGCGTCCTCACGCGTGGAATGCAGGCGCGTGAGCGAAGCAGTCAACGGTTTCGTTTCCGGTAAGAGCGTGTTCTACAGACAGACGGGGAGCTTGTCCAATTCAAGAGCCGGTAGGTGGGACAAAAGCCAATACGGGATAAAGTACGTCATAGGCAGCGATTGTCTGTCTGGTGAATTCTTTTTCTGCGTCACCCACCTGTCCACCAATGGGAAGGCTTTATAGCGTGGGTTCGGAATCCAAAGCTGAATCTATTGGGAGTAGAAGCCGCATAGCTCTTAACTCGGGGGCTTTTATTGGCAGCCGATCAAACGAGAGTGGATGGGCTTAATAACAGGTCGGTACTGCCTAGCATTGTCCTGTTATTAAGCTTGTTAATAAAGATTGTTCTGTAGGGCCTTTGTAAGGTTTCTGTGGCTGTGCTTACATAACACATTAACCAGACTAGTTACAACCCTAATAGCTGCATTCGGACAACACGCTATTCGTCTGAAGTTTTTTCGGCTTATCAGGTCACTGAACTCAGACCTATTGGTTAGTTGATGATTTAGCGTATTCTGCAAAACGGATTAATTCAGTAGCTAACCTAATTATTTTGTATGAGCAAACATAGTGGACTGGGCTGATTTGAAATGCTAAACTATATATTGTGGATTGCAAATTACAGCGGCTGAATTCATACAGCATCTGAATCGGAATGAAACAAGCCCGATTAAAGCTCGGCATGATGTGTGAACAAAATCTCTGTCTCATTTTATAATACAGTAGCTTAAATATTGAATTACCGCAGGATTGGTGGCCCCTGTGTTGGGCAGTAAGCACATTTAATTTGCATTATCAGTTACTTGAAGACTTCACATTTGCTTCATAGAGCAAGTGAAGTGTATGAATATAAGAACATTGAAAGCAAAGTAAGGGAGTCTTGGTGCTTTTCAGTCATGGTTAAATGATGGACTGGATTTCTCTGCTCTTCTCTTACAAACACTTTGCCCAAAAAAAGTTGTGCGGGAGGAATGAATAAAATGTAACCAGGAACTTCTACTTGCAAGGTTATTTGTCCATCTCTGGTTGAATATGAAGTGACAAGAGATTAACGTAGGCACTTGTAACAAGCCACAGTGATGTCAAAATGATGACATGTGCATTATTACACCATCCAAATTATGTAATTATATCCTTGCATCATGATAACTGTTGCAAATACATAAGCTACATCATGACATGATGCATATGTCATTTCCCTCCTGCCCCCCACCACGATCTATGCAACAGAACTTTAATACCATAAACATATAGGAAGTTTCTGGTCCATCATACTGAATGGCATGAATTAATGAAGTTTTTAAAAATACATATACATGTGTCTGTGAACTAAGAAAAAAGACAAGGCTGTAATAGATCTGAATTAAGGTGGTTTGGTCTTGTAGAGTTAATGAATACATGCCAGGAAATGATGGCGTAGGTTTAATTAGAACTGGAAAAGCTAAAATTTATGTCTGAACATGTGAAGTGATACCATGCTGGTTCTTGCAGGGTATGTATAAAATTATGAATCCATAGGTGGGTGATAGTTGCATGTTATTCTCCAATAAATAGCAAAAATGGGCAACAGGTTTGGGAAAAAAATATGCAACATTCTGAACACGTGCAATCTGGGAAAAAATTATTCTGCTAGGTGACATGATGATGGGTGGGAACAAGACAGGTACCAAAAAAGTGATTGGACCACTGGGGGACCCAAGAGTTAATGGGAATGGGTAATGTTTGATGAGTATCTACTTAGAAAAAGGTTGGAGTGTTTTGAATATATAGTTTAAGAATAAATCTATGTATCATACATGTGGCAAAATAATGAATAGAAATCTAAAAGCATGATTCTTTTGATTGCATGATGAAACTGAAAACAAAGGGCAGAAGACTGATGACAATAGGTTCTGAATGTGGGACAGACCATTTTTGTACAGTGTCAACAGTGGATCTTGAAAAAAAGAATAAATTGAAAGAAGCAGGTAAAAGTCCTATATGAAAGAGTATTAGAAGATTAATCTCCCAACAGAATGAATGGAAACTGAATGAAGGGGGAAAAGATGTGAAAGCTCCTTGAAACAGAGGAAAACATAATTATGCTACAGAATACCACAGAAATTTGGGGAGTTGATTATGTGCCATCAAGTTGATGTTGATTCTTAGTGACCAGATAAATTTTCTCCATGACCATCTGTCCCTAACCTGGTCTTCCAACATGTGGGGAGTTACCTTGATGGGAAATATGAGAGGAGTACTTGGGGGAAGGAAAGTGGATATGATTGCTGCAAAAATGAGGACGAAGGAAAGATACCGTAAAATATGTACAGACAGAAAAAAATAGTTGCAAAGAATGTAGTCAGAAGGAACAGTTAAGATTCAAAGAGGCAGAGTGATTTTGATGAAGTAAAATTTTGTTTTGAAAGTGGGTGAAGTCAGCTACACAAAGAGACTCCAACAAGAATAAACAGAACTCTGTTGGATGAGACCAAAGTGAGGAAATGCTGGAAGGAACATTTGAGAGATTTGTGGGGCAATTCTGGTGAGAGTCAAAGAATGGAAGTGAAGCAAATACTTTAAATATTAATGTCTAAGAAAATAAAGGAAAACAAAACCATGAGAAAGTTGAAAAGCGGTAAGAGTGCAAGTGTAGATGGTGTAATTGGAAAAATGTTAACATGTGAATGTGGTTTGCTTATGGGGTGACTATGTGACTTGTTTAACGTCTGTGTGTGTGAAGGCTGCATTTGTGCCTGACAACTGGAAGAATGCGGTTATTTTTTGCCCTATACAAAGGGCAAAATAACAAGAGTGAGGGCAAAAGCTACAGAGGGATTAGCCTGTTCATTGTGCCTCGGAAAGTGATTGGCAGGATTCCAACTGAAAGGATATGGCAGGTTGATAATAAGCAAGATTTAGAAAGTGCATAGTGACTTTATGCTGGGCAGGGCTGGCTGCAGTCCAGGTTTTTGCTGTTCAGCAAAAACTTTGAGAAACAAAGTTTATTCTGCATTTGTTGATTTAGAGAAAGCACACGATAAACTGAGTGGCCTTGAATTATGGAACGTTGCTGAATGCAGTAAGAGGTGTATGTATGCAATGGAAGTAAAGCATGTGTGAGAGGAAATGGAATGTGTAATGAGTGGTTTAACACTGAGCAAGGAGTAAGGCAAGGGTATGTGATGTCCCCTTAATGTATTTTTAAAGTATTTGTGGGTAAAAGTATAAGGAATGCTGGTAGGTCGTGTGTTGCTTAGGGATGTGAATGTATGTGTACTTTAGGCTTTTTTAATATAATTTTTATTAAGAATTTTAAACAGAAGATAAAAACTAACAAGAACTAATGTAAAGTAAAAAGGAAAGAGAAAGAAGAACAAAGAAAAAGCCAAAAGTTCATAATGTAAAAATAGAAATAGAAAGAAATGTTTCTGATTGCCTTTACAGCAAGTGTAATTACAAATACAAAATTACCTCTTACTCTATGGCTACAAATGTACGTGTACTTTAGGATGCCAGTGATGTTCTGTTGTTGGCTAAGAACCCAGACGATCTGCAGTGAATGTTAGGTTGTATGATGCAATGAGAAGTATAGATCTGAGAATTAATGTGCCAAAGACCCGGGTAGTTGTGCTTGACAGGGAAAATGGAGTGAATTATTGCAGGATAACACATAAAAGCCAAAGAATATAGAGAGAGAAAAAAATGAATTTGCAAACTTGGTAGAATGTTCATTAAGGATGAGAAAATGGAGATAAAAGCAAGCAAATACTGGTAGAAACGTAATGGGTGGTGTGTAGTCTGTTATACTGAAAGTCTGTCAAAAGAAACAAACATGGTTGTATATGACAGTGCACTTCTGCCTACTTTTTTTATAACAAAGTGAGAGTTGTGTTTGTCAGGAGAAACTTAGCACATATATTAGATGCAGTGGCTACAGGATGTTTAAGAACTGTGTGTGAAAAAACAAGAAGGTACAAAATTTGGACTGAATACAAGAGTGAGTAATCCATATGAAATGAGCATATGGTTTGGTTATATAGAGGAAATGAATGAAGACCAGATTGCAAAACAAATTTCTGAAGAAAGAAAGGATTGAGGGGAAGACTGAGAAAGCTGTAGTTCAAGAGACCCTCAAAGAGAGAGGTGAAAACTCTAAAGAAAAAACACGTATGACAGAAGCAAAGATGGTTTGTCCCAATGGAAGGGGATGGAGAACAGTTGTGAATGGTGCTAATGTACGCTAGAGTTAGCCATGTTTCCTTTTCTTTTTATCTCATGCCTTTATTTTTTTTAACTTACTATTTATTATTCCTCTTTTACTCTGTATAATGTTGCTTACTGAAAAGTAGATTGTGGTTTAGCTGGGGGGGGGGTATATAAAACAGGGTATGTTAACCCTTGTAGAGCCTTAATGTATCTATCGTGTGCCTTTAATTTCAAAAAATACAATAGCAATATCAAAAACTGGTAGCCTAATTTTGACAGTATGATCTAGCAAAGTTTTCGGAGCCACACGCAGGGCCGAAATTCCTGCATGTGGCTCCTGTGCTAAACTAAGAAATCAAACAAAATGGTGGGTTAGCACAATGTGAAACCAGTTTTATGGTGTATTCAGGTATCAGCTTTCCCTGGATCCTGATTCTATTGTATATCCCAGAGCAAAGCAAGCTTCTACAGTAGTTTACTAGCTGTATTTGGGCTTGTGATTCCACAATATTATTGCAATTTCTTGCAATTGTTTTCTAGAATGGGTAGACATCTTAGTAGTGTGTTGTCCAAACTTGCCCCCCTATTAAATAAGGAGCTTTTCATCTTCCCATACCTCCCCCCCCACTCCATCCCTGGGCGGTTTTCTTGGCGGAGTG